AAAATAATATAAAAAATGTTTTTTTTTTTTGATTATTATGAGGATTTTTACTATTGGGGTACAAACGTATCCCGCGTGTGTTTTACGGGATAATGTGTTTGGAAGGCTGTAGCTCCTGAACCAATGGTCCGATCTCGTTCAAATTTTGAATTTGAACTCAAAACTAAACTCTTCCTAGATCCGAAGATAGCGGTATAGAGGTGTAGCGGTTCAAAAGTTACAACACTTCAAAGTTGAAAGTGGATACATTTGTACCCGGGTGTGTTTTCTAGGGTTAATCAGCGTATCATCTAACATCTAAGCTTTGCACTTCCTAGAAGAACGTGAGATGAATTTTTCTATTTATTCACTTGGGTGCAAAGAAGTTTGATCTATTCAACGAGCACTCAATTGCACAAGAATATAAATACATATGTACATACAAATACACGCATCAGGGTGTACCTAATATATATCCAATCAACAAGGGTTTAAAAARCGGTAAAGTGAAATAATTAATATTAATAATAAAACTAAGAAAATTAACATTACAATTGGAACAAACATTCAAATTAATATGATTAATAACATTTACATTGCAAGTCAATACATTACTCTATTAACAAAGCTAAGTATAAATTTTTTTCGCATGATTCCGATTACTTTGGCGGATAGTAAAAAAAACGAATTTCCGTACAATTGTATGTGCTAGAGAGCTTCTCCAGAGAAGAAATATACACTTATATTTTTTAAAATATTCCTGATTAAAAATTGAAATAATTTGTATTAAAATGACGTGGTATTTCTCAATGTTTCACTAAATTGTTTCACATTTTCAACTTGGTATATTGAAATATACACTTCAAGCATTAAAATAAGTTTACATTTCACTTCTATTTTGTTGCTTTTTAGCTAAATTTAATAATTTAAAAATCACTTATCACACTCATGGCTGAAAAGTTTAGAGTTTTTATAAATACTAGGAAAGCAAGCTTTGCCACATCTTAAAAACCAATTTCTCAATGACAGTGTTTTTTTTGTTTGTACTTCTCCGTGCTTTTTTTTCTATATTTACTATAAAAAAACTAAAAAAAAACACTTTTCAAGCTATGATTGAGTAAGTGAACATTTTTTCCATATACAAGTATGAATAATAAGTAATTTATATTAAAAAAACACAGATAAGTAAAACTATATACATATTACAATTTTATACTATACTAAAATCATGTCAAAATATTAAAACGTTTATTATAATATTATATAATACTTTAAAATTGCGTTCGGAGCTTCAGAATTTGTCACTTAGTTTTCTCACAAGTCTCTGTATGACATCCAACAACAATTTTTTAAACAAGTGTAAAAGTTTATAATTTTACGATTTTACGATGTTTTACGACGTCGTTTGGAAGTCTGGTCCAAACAAGCGAGCGACCATTGAATTTTCTTTTAAAGAATTACATTAATCCGTTTAAGGGATTCCATCCAACATATGTATACGCACTTAGTATAAGAGTTCAATATAGGTTGAAGAGCACAACCAGTCCATGTTAGGATGGGTTTGGATTCGCAATTTAAACCCACAAATAGAAATGTGCGACAGATTGTCTTTCAAAACCTGATCTTTCCTACGGAGTACAGATCTTCCTATTCCTCTGCTTCCCCCGGCGGGTACTGTGTCGAATACTTTCAGATCTGTCTTTTAATTCGCTAAACTATGTATCATACAGTTCATCGTTCCATCGAATATTACATTTGCCGTTGTCAATGCATAAAGAACTATAAATCTTCCGAACAACACTCCTAACGTCGACTCATCAGATCCCCGAGTACTATCATTCACTCCGGTGGACATCTAGATGTGTATAAGAGACAGGCTAAACTATGTATCATACAGTTCATCGTTCCATCGAATATTACATTTGCCGTTGTCAATGCATAAAGAACTATAAATCTTCCGAACAACACTCCTAACGTCGACTCATCAGATCCCCGAGTACTATCATTCACTCCGGTGGATGAACATCTAGCCGCAACCCGCATCAAATCGAGGTTCTTCAACATATCGTTGAATTCCGCCCACGCCCCAACGGAAGAGAAGGACGATGTGACCAAAGATGCCTTCTATGAGCGCTTGGAGCGCAGCTATGTAAAAGAAAGATAACTGTGGCGCACCAGCCGGTAAATTCAACCCCAACGAGGAAACATTACAAATGGGTTGCGGCTGATCGAAATCGCAGGGGCCCGAAATATAGTTACTGTAGTACTAGATTCCAGCATAGAAAAATTCATAACACCATCCATAACCATCTTAATACTCGCTCTTCTAAATTTCGTAATACCGAAATGAAAATGCCGTCGGCATATGTGCAAATGGGATATGTTGMCTCTTCGAAATTTTCATAGAAATGAAAATTGCGCCGTCAAACTGCTGAAGTGGCAGCTTATTGCTTACAATATATAGCAAACTAATTAGTATTCTATATATTGTAAGCAATAGGCAATGTGGAGTCTCCACAGGCAATAGGCACGGCAATACAGTTAGTAAGACATAGATTTTATCCTGTCGAGATGCCCCGTAAGAACACTCGTCAACAACTCRGTATAATTGAGGTTCACGGCGTCGAGATCGTAAAAATATTTTTGGCTAACTCGATCGAGATGAGCCAGTTTCACCACTGCCAGCTCGGCAGGAGAAATTTTAACATTTTCGTTTGAACAGAGCTGAACGTGAAATACAAATTATGCTCAAAACTATATATTGCTCTAACAGACTTACATATGCTCGCTCTTTTGCTTATATTTTTATACGTTTATAAGCAAACATATGTATTCGTATGAACCCTTTTTGTGCATATTAATGAATACATGTGCAATTAAATTACATTTCAAAGCAATATTCGTAGTTACATATGTATATAACAAACTATCATAATATTATTAAAAAATTAAATATATTACAATAGTGATAAATGTACATTTTATCATTCAAAACTTATCTATGTATCACATGCTTCATGGCCATTTGTGTTTATGCAGAGAACGTATATTTTTAGAGAAGGTCCAACAACGGACAGGCGTGTAAACTGTCAAAAGCTAACAAAATGCCATGAGTGCGTTTCACCACAGCCAGCTAAGAAGGAGAAACTTTAACAGTGGCGCGTGAACAGAGCAGAGCAATCAATGAAATTTATACTCAGAAATATACATTCGTATTGAAGACGTATGTTAGCCTTTTGCATATAATTCTATACGTTTACATACATGCAATCATATTAATTGATATTGAATATCATTTTGAGAGTTTTTGTGAATGCATGCAAAATTGATAACTCCATCATTAAATTATGATATTTTCAAAGTAACATTTGTAGTTAAWGTACAAATAAGAGCTACTTTTTAAATATTTCATATGTTTGATAATATATTATAAATTTATATATGAGTATGTAGATATGCAATATATGTATATATACATACATATATGACAAACTATTATAATATCCTAAACAACTTATTGTAATATATTACAATAATATTATATGTAAATCGCATTTCTTTTCAATTTTCATACGTATCGACATATCAGCACATAGTCACATACATACATATGTAAGTACAATTCATACATCCATATTCATATGTGTACGACATTGCCGGACAATTAATGCATACACAAACCAACRTACTTATGTATATGCGTACACATGTAAATATGTGCGTATGACATTCCCACACAAATAATGCATACACAACATACATATTTATATCCGTTCCCATGTAGATATGTATGTCGCACRCAAAAACTACGAATATTATTCTACAAAAACAACAATGTTTTCAAATAGCATCARCAGCGTCACAAGTCAATATGGCAGCCAATTCGATGATCCAATTTGTAGAAAAACTCTTCTTCTTCTTGATTGGCGTAGTCACCGCTTACGCGATTATAGCCGAGTTAACAACAGCGCGCCAGTCGTTTCTTCTTTTCGCTACGTGGCGCCA